TTACAAACACAAATCTTGGATTAACACAGACTTGCTGGACATTCAATAGGCAATGAAAAGTGTCGAGCAAGCAGAAATGAAACAAACAAACAAAAAAGATGTGGCACATTTTGTCCCTCTTGAATCGCAAGAACGGATAAGAACACACTGATGCCTCTTGCGCCTACGCTTTGTAGGAGCCAAAGAGAGCAATGCTAAGTAGGTCTACTCAAAAATCTACTCAGGCCTGTTCCATGGAGTTTACTCTCAGGAATGAGTTCTTAAGATTGCACTGAAAAGTTCTCTAGCAGTTTTTAAATCTGTATTCTATCAAAAAGAGATCCCTCCAAAAAGGATGGAAGCACCAGATTTAGAGATGTAGCCCATGAATAAAAATACTCCAAATGCTACTTTTGAGCAGGTTTTATGAGCCACACATAGCCATCTGGTATCAGACTTCAATGAAAATCAACATAAATTGTGACATTTGCCCCATGCTTTCCAATATCTGATTTGCCGTGATCTGGATAGCCCAGGAAAGCCAATCTTGTCAGATCTCGGAAGCTAAGCAGGGCCGGCCCTGACAAGTATTTGGACGGGAGACCTCCAAAGAATACCAGGGCTGGGAGGCCAGAGGCAGGCTATCAAACCACTTCTCTGAATGTCCTCCATACCCCAGTAGGCGTCGCCAGAGGTCGCCATGACGTCCAGGAACGGGCACAGGCACACACACAAATGCAAAAAAACCCAAACACCCAAAAAATAAAAACAAATCCCAGACCAGGGACTGTAACTGCAGCTGACAATGCTAGCCCAGATGAACTGCCCATCAAACAAAGCAGCAGCAGCACCAAATGGGGGCATTCCATTATCAGCATGGCCATGGCCTGGCCCAGAAGCTGAAGGTTTATTTATTTATTCATTTAGGATATTTATATACCACCTCTCCGGAGACCTGCTCGAGACCTGTTTACAACTGAAACAATAAAACAAACCCATTAAAATACAGCCATAAAAAAAAAGAAACTGAATCCCTACAAAAACAAGCTAGAACAGAAAAGTAGGGTAAAACACACTTCAAGCAGCCTAAAATTGTATAAACAGTCCTCAAGCCAGAAGCTGACCATAAAGCAAATGTAAGAGATATAACCCTTCGGTTAAAAGTCTGGGTAAAGAAAGAATGTTTAAGCTGGTACTTTAAAAAAAATAAGGTAAGTGCCAGGCGAGTCTCACAGAGGGCATTCCAAAAGTAGAGTGCCACCACTGGAAAAGCCCTGTTTCAGCCTCATCTCTGCATACACAGCAAAAAGAGCAGGACTTCAGAAAAAGATCTTTACTGGTGGGCTAGGCCAGAATAAGTCTGGTAAGACTAGGAAATGAGATTAATCCTAACATTGCAACAGATCCATTCAATATATTCAGTTTCACTGTGTGAAGAAATGCCTTTTCCCCCCACCCCCGGGAGGTTTGCAATGAGCCAAACCTCCACTTTGCGTTTTAACAGGGTTTTTTCCCCTCTAGGCAGAGAACAGGTGTGTGTGGGGGGGGAGTCAGTTCAATTGTACTTCAGCCCACCTTACAAATGTTAATAGATCTAGCAGGAGAGACAATGGGATGGTCACGCTTCCCCCTTCTCCCCATTCCAAGCAGGGAACAGAGACTTGGAGGACTTCAGACTAGAACAAACTCCAAGAAGGAAATGTCTAGACTTTTTAGGAAAGGCTTCTTTGACCTGGGCTGGCTGGGTCAGTGGGAGGGGAGACAAATATGATAAAAACTCCAGGAGGAAGGTCTCTTTCATTGGGATGCTGCACCCATGAGAACTCTTAGCTGAGGTCTGAAAGCAGGCAGCCATTGAACATGTGCTCTCCTGGGAGATCTGGAGCAAGCTTCAAGGTAATGAAAACACTGTGGAGATCTAGAACATCTAAGCTAAAGGGCCTGTTCTGTATTTTACCATCTGATAAGTCAGAGAGACAGAGGATTTGCATTTTACCTATTTCGTTTGGATTCCCTTGCTGAATCTGATGGTGTGCTAAAAGGATGCTTGTAAACATTTTCTTTTTAATAAATACTTTAAACTCTTGATGTGGGGTAGTGGTTCCCTGTACCACATAGACCTCCACTGTCTCAGACATGCTATTTTAAAAGGGGCACCTGAGGGAGGGAGGCAGTTGGCAAGCGGCTATTCCTCCAGGGGTGCCCAAGGCAGTGAACTGTCCCCATGGTGACCAGACACTGAGCAGCAGGAGACACAGAGGCAAGGCCTCAGAATTTAGAATGGAAGTTGGAAGCCCTGAACCTCCCAGTGGGCAATTCTGTGCAAAGGTCAGGTGGTGGCAGCACATTTACAGAGAGAAAAAGAAAAGGCCTCTACAGGTGCTAGGAGAACTTTGGAAGGCAGGGTAGAATAGGGTCTGCAGGCCAGAAGAGGCCCATTCTGTTACACACTGCAAAGCTTGTTTTTCCCCAGCAAGCTCAGCCACTTATTTTCAGGAAAACATTAATGTTATCTTGGGATCAATGACTAATATGAGTTTGGCAAACTGGATTCTAATAATAGGGTTTATATGTGCTTTTCTACCACAATTATCTTTTTTTTCTCCCTGTTATATTGATATTACTAGCTGAAGAGGGGCACTGAGTTAATAGAGAATGACATATGATGCCCAAGGTTTGGGGGGGCAATAAAAGAATTTTGAAACATTAAACCTATAAGAACAAGTGAACATAAAGCTGATAAAAAGCAATCATGCCAATGGGTGTACAGTGAAATATTTATTATTATGCTTGTTGTATTAATGATGTGGTATGACATTAACATACAATGTACATTCAGGGGAAACATGTGAGAACCAGATATAAACATCAAAGTAAGTACAGATTAGGGTAGAGGCATTCAAAATCTAACAAGAACAAGGGGAATGGTGCATTATAAGGAAGTGATTCTAACAGCCATCAAGCTTGACATAGTTCCCTAGATACGGGATACTTATTTATTCAAATATATGGAAGCTATACATATTGAACCATCAAGTCTATTTTAAAACTAGAGCCCATCAGTATTATTCAGCACTTAAATACAATACGGAAATCGAGGAGTTAATGGCTTTGTTAAAGATATGCGCACTCACTACTGAGCATAGTAACTCAGGTTAACTGCTGAAGGCTAAATTTGGCTAACCAATGTGAATTCTTTATTACATTGTATTCCACATAAATTCACTGTGTGAATGCGAATGCAAAAAAAAAAAGTAAACAAAGTGTGAACAATATACACAGTCGCTTTACAATCCAGTAATGCAAATTATTATGTCAGTTCAACAATCATATGGGCACCGTGAACTTAATTTACTTTCTTATTCCAAAGCAATCTGCCTAACAGTAAAAATCTTTCCAAAGTGCTAGAGAATCTTGCAAGTGTACAAGATCTGTTCATGGTAAGGGACTACAATACATGACAAAAGAAACTGAGAAACCATTCAGCAGAGAAACCATTCAGTTGGATACAGCAGAAAAGCTCATAGAAGGAACTGGAATCGCTTTACCATCCAGTAATACACATTATTATGTCAGTTCAACAATCATATGGGCACCGTGAACTTAATTTACTTTCTTATTCCAAAGCAATCTGCCTAACAGTAAAAATCTTTCCAAAGTTCTAGAGAATGTGGCAAGGGTACAAGATCTGTTCATGGTAAGGGACTAGAATACATGACAAAAGAAACCGAGAAACCATTCAGCAGAGAAACCAGCAGAAAAGCTCATAGAAGGAACTGGAAGGATGGAGGCCTGCTTCCTCTTCCCTAAGCAGGTCTACTGTTTGCTCTAAACATCCTCTTAAGACACAGCCTCACAGTGGGCTCAACTAAATGTTATGAGTGACTCAATTTGGGGTACACATAACATCCAGGAAAGATCATTCCCAAGTTCTGTGGGGCTGATTTCAGCTCATGAGCACAGAGCTGGGGGTAGGGGCTTCAACCTTTTATCCCACACCATTTTATTGAGCCAAAATGGCCACTGTTTGCCCCTCTCTAGGCTTCATGTTTACTTACTGTGACAATGGAACGGAATCAACAGATGAGGGAGGCGAAAACACTTTTGTTCCCTTCCTCATGTTTAGCAGTCCACCTAATCATAAGTCCGTTAGTCTGTGGGGATCCCACAACCTTCTAGGATCAGAAAGGACTGCTGGAGGGAGGGAACATGGGAAAGATCCTTCAACCTACAAATTGCTGGTTTCAAGTTGTGTTAAAAAGATATTACAGCAACATAATAAAAGCATTCTGGCTCAAAAGGAGAAGGAAGGCGTATGCCTGCCTTCCAAAGGAACATACTGTAGAACATTTTGTGGACTTAAAAAGTGTTTCTTGAAGACTTGGGAAGTTTTCTACCATTTCTGTTGATTTTTTTTTAACTGAATAAAAAAGGGTTTTAAAGGCAATAATTAAGAACAAGAATGATCTTACAACTGGCCAGCAGAAAGGGGAGAATTTCCACTCATGACCAGTAAGGAATACCAAAGAAGGACCGGCCACAACAATATCTGCTAAGGAAGGGCACTGGTTTTTACCCATAAGCGGCAAATTATTAGAGCTGGAACCATATCCAGTACAGGAGCAATGTGATGTGAAGTACTGGATTATGACCAGGGTGACCTGAGTTCAAATCATTTTTGCCATAAGCCTTGGGTTGGCCCAGTCATCCTCTCAGTAACTTACTTGATATGGTTGTTTGTGAAGATAAACTGTGGGAGGGGACCCTGAGTTCCTTGGAGAAAGAGCAAGATAAAAGTAAGATAGACTATTGTAGCATCTCAAAAGACACTTTGGCTATGTGGGAATGGACAGAACAGAACAGGCTACTGATGCAGAAAGGGCGCAGACACCAAAGGTTTAGAGCAGAGAACTATCAAGAAGACCAGGCGGGGAAATGGCCAGGTGGTGTGAACAGACCATCAATACCTCCTATCCAGGCAAGACTATATGCAAGATGGAGACAAGGCTGGAGTGACAGGCCTAATGCAACTCTTCTGTCTCTGAGGCATCCGATATTAAGACCTCACTAAACTCCTTTTCCAGCTTACTTATGGTACCTTCACTTCCTTCTTTGACAGGAGGCGGTGGTGATGCACTCTTTGCTCTCCGTTTTGCTGTCCTTCTAGGGGTGAACATCTTCTCATCGGAGTCGGAGGAAGCCCACTCCTTGCAGGGCTCCTTCTTGCTCTTAGGTCTACCTTTCCTAGCCTTCTTCTTTTTGCTCCAGTCCCCCCCTACAGCTATCGTCATTTCTTTCTCTTCAGCTGGGCGTCCTCTGTGGAAATGCTTCACAACCTTGACATTGGGTCTAGAATTCAAAGGAAGAGATGAATGGACGGCGAGTGGAAAAGGTACACCTAGGGAATATTTTCACCCCCATAAGAATCAGCACACACACACTCACTCACACACACACACAACTCGGGCTAAGAGTTCCTGCTGAAACAGTTGTGCTATCTCGCTTCTCTGCACTGCTTACTGCACACAGCACACCGCCCCATTCTGTGCCCAGGCTCTTTATGTCGACGTCTCCCAGCAGACAGAACATTGTTGAGTATTCCAGGGCCCCACAGCAGCTCGGATGTTATAGTGATTCTGGCCCCCCACTTCCTCATCTTTTCTGAAACAGCTGTGTGGGGCTGTTTCAGCACTTGGGAAAGTGTGGGGCAGTGGGGACAAATGTGGCATTTTTTTAAATGGCCAAATTCTTCCCTAAAATGGTATCAGCGGCCACAGGTAGGGCAACGGCCACTGTGACATCTAATCTGTGCCTCAGTCAGCAAAGGGGCTCATGTCCACAAAGCTAAGCTAGAGCTCTTGCATTTAAGAGACATAAAAGTGTCGGATAATGTCCGTGGCAACTTGGGGAGGCTTCAGTCTCATTTCACGGACTACCCTAACTAAACTCGTCACTTCCATGCTGGAAAATTCCTGGAGATTTGGGGTGGTCTATAGGGAAGGTCGATGTTAGCAGGGGGAGTGAACTCAGCGAGGATGTGATGGGACATTCAGAGGACTATTGCCTCTGAAGCTGCCATTTCCTTCAGGGGAACTGATCTCTGCAGTCTGGACAGCAACTATGGTTCCAAGAGAACTCCAGGCCACACCTGGAGTTTGGGAAATCTAACCTTCATCCTCAAACAGATTATACCTTTCAAATTCCATTGGCATCAGTGGGCCGTAATGCCTCAGCCAAAAACATACTTTGACTTTCGTGTTAGAATAGAAACAACCACATTTCGATCTTCTCCCTCCTCCTTGAGAGTCACTTGCCTGGATCACACAGCCCAAGTGGCCCAGATGCAACACAAATTCCCACCCCCATTCCCAGACAGGAAGAAGGTGCTTAGCTGTCATCCTACTCAATGCTTAGCAGAGTGAGAGCTAAGCCTCTTCCTTTACTGATCTTCTATCATCATGGGTATTAGTTTCTAATTTACTGTAACTACTGATGACTCTTCCAGCAGATTTATTCCAGCTTTGTTTGAGATACAGATGTGCACCTATTTAATAAAGTGAAAAGAAGACAATTCATGCATACTCACACGAGCTGATCCATCATCTGTGTCATGTTTATGTAACAGCAAGAACAGGTATACCTTCTGCAACTGATTTTAATAAGCCCATTTCGCACACAATGTTCCTGCAGTAACAACACCACTATTAACCTCATCACTGACTTTTAAACCTCAGTATTAACAATTCAAATAAAAGAAAACCGTATGTTTTAAAGACCTGAGTCTATACACTGCAGTCCTATATATGGCACAAGGGGGGGAAAGAGGTAACATACTGGAATATTCAATAAATACAGCAGATGCACTAAAAATTGTTGAGATACTCAAACAAATGTTAATTAAAAGATTTTTGCAGGTGACATTTCTTCGGGCCAATGAGACTAAGGGCCAAACTACATGTTACACTTGCCTCTAGGCAGGCCACAAGCATCTTCAGATGTTGTTTTGAAACTTCCCTACTGGGAATGCAACTCTGAGGCACACAAGATCTGATTCAGATGAGGACCATGGCACACAGAAAGGGGGGCTTAAGCCTCCCCCCTGTGTCATTTCTCCAACCTGAAACTGCCCAGGGAGCCACTATTGTTAGGATTGCCAGTTCTAGGTTGGGAAATACCCGGAAATTTGAGGTGTGGAGGCTCGGGAGGTTGGAGTTTGGGAAAGAGAAACACTTCAGCAGGGTATAATGCCATAAAGTCCACCTTTCAAAGCAGCAATTTTCTCCAGGGGAACTGATCTCTGGAAACCAGTTGTAATTCTGGGAGATTTCCAGCCACCACTTGGGGTTGGCAACCCCACCTACTGGCCCTACATACACCAAATGGGACAAACAGCAGTTCCCCAGGGTCATTTCAGCTCAGAAAAATAGTGCAAGGCAAAGATTTAAGCCCTGTCTCCCACAGAGTTGCCAACTTCGAGGTGGGGCCTGGAGATCTCCTGGGGTTAGAACTTATCTCCAGACAACAGAGGCCAGTTCTCCTGGAAGAAATGGATGCTTTGGAGGGAGAACTCTATGGCATTACTCTCAGTGGAGTTCCTCCTCTCCCCAAACCCCACCCTCCCCAGGCTCCACCCCCAAATCTCCAGGAATTTCCCATGTCAGAGTCAGCAATCCTAGTCTCTCTGCATGCTGTGGCCCCAATCCAAACTATGCCCTGTATTCTTTGGAATTGTGTTACAAACAGCATCTGAAAATTCTCATGGCTGACCCAGAGACAACTGTAATGTATAGCCTCGCCCAAAGATGAAGCAGCAGTAGAATGACCGGGGGGAGGCGGTAGGGGGGAGAATCATTCATTCCACAGCATTAATCATACATGTTTCTTATTGCAAAGAACTCATTTTCCAAGTCAGATTAATCTGGAGGGTGAAAATGTGCCACCACAGTTACTTTTTTTCCCCAAACAAAGATTTCTGTTCATGCAAAGGACAGAGTGCAGAGCCTTTGCCTCCAAATCAGTAAGCCACCACGAGCAGTGACTTAGCTCTGGATGGGTGGCAACTTTTCCAATGCAGGGGTGGCTACGTGGGCCCTGGATGCAATGACCCCTGGTGGGCAAACCCCTGTAGGGGCAGCGAAGGGGAGGGTCAGATGAGACAGCTCCAGAGCAGGAAGTGCTGCAGAAAGCTTCCCTGTCTGATGCATTGGGGGGGGGGCTCAAGCTGGCATGAGCCAGAAGACGCCAGCCAGGATCTGTAGGCCAGAAGGCTTCCAGGGGGGCTGGCCCAACCACTAGTTTCACCCCCCCTCCTGCCACAGGGGTGGCAACTCTCATGGGACAGCAGGGGTAGTCATGAGGCTTGCACAGTATGCACAGCCTTACTTTGGGGGCTGGGGGAGGCACTGTGAGGAGGAGGGGCAAGGATCTGCTCTAGGGCTTCTAACTTCCTCTTGAGAAATACCTGGAGATTGGGGGAGGGGTTGGAGCCTGGGAAGGACAGGCTTTGGAGAGGGGTGGAACCTCAGCAGGCCCCAAAGAGCACTTCGGTCGGGGTCACAACACCGCCTAGTGACCCCGGGCCCTAAAGAGGCCAGGCTTGTTGCCACAAGGGCCAGGTTCTTTTCGGTGGTGGCTCCTATCTGGTGGAATGAGCTCCCGGAGGAGATCAAGGCCCTGCGGGACCTGTTACAGTTCCGCAGGGCCTGTAAGACGGAGCTCTTCCGCCAGGCTTTCGAATAGGAGCCACCGCCACCACCAACGGGGGACTGCAAAGCAGTACCGCTGGGTTGGGCCATTCTGGCCGTCTGAACATCATGGCCCACAGCATCCCCCTCGTTGACCCCTATGTGGTGAGCAATAGGGAGCGAGTATAGTAGTCGCGATGGATCCTTGGGAGTTGCTTACTGTGTTTTAACTGTTTTTGGGGAATTGATCTCTATGGTCTGGAGATCACGTGTAATCCCAGGAGATCTTCAGCCCTCACCTGGAGGTTGGCAACCCTAATGTGCTCCCTAATGCAAGGAATGAGCCATGCAAGAGAGAAGGTGTAGGAGACAAGAGGAGGGAGGCCTCAGGAGGGAACACAGCTCTGCAGGTCTCTCAGACTGAGACACAATGGGGATTCACCACCTTTCTCCAAGGCAGCAGGTGGCCATTCCTCTCTGAGATCCTCAGGAGCCTCTTCCCCCACACCTGCTGAAGGACTCCCAGTAGGCCAACCAAGCCCTTTGTGGAGGGAAGGGGTTCCTGGCCCCCAGTTCCTGTTGCCCACTGCCAGTAGAAGTGCTGGCAGGAGAAAAAGTAAAAAGAAAAATCAGGCTTTGACTACTTACAGGAAGTTCTTATCACAGAGTTGCTGGAGATTCCTAGAGCTACCTGGAAGCTTATGGTAAGAACTTCCTGCAAGTAGAGAAGGGTTTCTTTTTCTTTTTTCTCCCAGGACGCTGCCCCACCAACCCTCCCACCAGCTGCCAGACAATGTCATTCGACCCCAATGCCCAGTCATGTCTCTCGCCATGGAGCAGCCCAGTGTGGCGGCAGCTCATGATTTGGGTGCCCCGCCCCATGACAACCAAACTGCCTGACTCTCTACCTACCTTTCTGTTGTTGTATTTTAAAACTGTGTAGAGTTTATCCTCAACGTCAGCTTTATTAGGTGTTGCTATGACAATACCTGGTACATAATACTCCTCTCCTGACTGTTTCCTTATTCGGGCAAATACATAGTCGCCAACCTGCAGAACCAACAAAGAGCTAAGTTAAGCCCATCCATTTTAAATGTAGTACTCCCTAACTGATGATGAGCCAACTGTCTCAAGAAATATTAATGATTAGTTACCTGCAAAGGTGGGCAAGGCATTGCTCCTCCCACTGGCATAATGAACTTCATTGGTACAATTTCAGTCTCCCCATTTGTAAAACCAATAAGTGCATAAGAAGAAGTGATGCTCCTTAGTACTGTCCCTAAAACAAAGACATGGGGGGGGAAATCTATGTTTCAGATCACATGCTATGTTTTACAGATTATGAAAGATATCTAAATGCCCTTTAACACAAATTCTGCAAGAAGCTAACCAATAGAAGGCACGCTTTACAAGTCTTAGGTTCAGTCCCTGGCATCCCCAGTTACAAAGATCTCAGGTAACTGGCCAGAGAAAAGTCAGAACCTTAGATCTTGAAAAGGGCTGTCAGTCAGAGAGCCACCAGTACCTATAGCCAATGGTGTGATTCACTACAAAGAAGATTCATATGTTCATAATCCCGGCTCTACCACCTCTTGCAACAAAAGATTAATCTACTTCAAATTCTGTATCCATTATTTATTAAAAACCAGTCCCAAAGTGTTATACTAACACTGGGAAATTAGCACCGCAATGAATTCCCCTATCTATTTTTTGCCTTCTAAACGTGGTATGAGAGACCTAGGAAGACTCACTACAGCAGTGGACTATCTGTCTCTACAATCTGCACCAGCCCACCTCAAGGCCGAGCTGCCTATCGTGAAAATGCTTGAAAGTGTGAACGCAGTATTTCACACTCAGAAGCCAGGCCCAGACTCACCGTGGAGCCCATCTGTGGCACTGCGGGGAGGGCAGAGACAGCAAGGGTAGCTGTGGTGGCTCTTGCTGGGGCAGAGGGGGCGGGCCAGTGTCAAGCAGGGCCCGCCCAGCCTGACACCAGACTTATCAGGGAGTTGGGGATGGCTGGTGGGGTGGGGGCACCCAGGCTGCTACTTAAGGCACTGTGGCACTCTGGCTCACCCTCTTTCTGGCATTGGGCTTTTTGGCTCACTCTCGCTGCTCCCCTGCTCTGCGCCAGAGCATGTGGCCTCCTGGGCAAGCCGTGCACCAGAGAGAGCCAAGGCAGCAAGGACGTGCCACTCTGGCTCGCCCTCTTTCTGGCATTGGGCTTTTTGGCCCACTCTTGCTGCTCCCCTGCTCTGCGCCACAGCATGTGGCCTCCCGGGGAAGCGGTGCACCAGAGAGAGCCAAGGCAGCAAGGATCCAGAGCGGCAGCGACGGAAGAACCAACGGGGAAAGCACCAAGTAGGCAGCGGGGTGGGGGGTGGGGGGGAGTCTAGGCAGGCATTCTAATGGTAAAATTAAAGATTTCTGCATTCCACACAGTTGCCAAGCCTCAAAGACTGGCTTTAACTCTAGGGTTGCCAGGTCTGGGTTGGAAAATACCTGGAGACTTTCAGGGTGGATCTGGGAGAGGGCGGGGTTTGGGGGGAGGGACCTCAGCATGGTACAGTGCTATAGCATCCACCCTTCAAAGCAGCCATTTTCTCCAGGGGAGCTGATTTCTGTCAGCTGGAGATCACTTGTAAAAGCAGGAGATCTCCAGGCCCCATCTGGTGGCTGACAACCCTACTTAACTCAAATTGTGCCCCTATACTAACAAACGCATGCACTGCTTCCCTTTCCCACATTCACACTGCAAAGACTTGCAGATTCTGCAAAACAGACAAGAAAGTTTTCTATGCTCAAAATTCTTGCCAAAAAACTACATACATTTACTTTCTGATGTGAAGATTCTAAACATTTGTCCCAGCACTGCCATGCACACTCTGAAATGTGTGTAAAATCAGGTACAGGCCCACGTAACCAGGTTTAGAGGCAAGTCTGGGCATTCCAGTGTTAGCAACCTCTACAGTATAGAATCTATACTAACTCTGGTGAACACCAGAAATCTCACTGGTATGTGGCTAACAACAGCAAGTGATCTAATGGGGCAATGTTATGTATTACATTATGTAGATAGCCTGAATTGGAGAATGAGCCTGAGCTTCAGTCACAAGTGCCATAGACTCTCAGTATCCTCAAATCAACAGCCTGATTGGCTGCCGTTGTGCAACGGACCAATCAGGAAATATTGTGACTTTCAGCGGGAACAAACCCTGTTGGTCCTAAGCACTCACTCATGATAGGACCTTACTGGTCTAGGGGTGTGGTTTAGCCAGTTCCAAACTGCATATAAGTTGGGGTTGTTCTGTGTGTGTTGTTGTTGTGTTCTGTTCTAATAAACTGAAATAATTGGTTGAAGAAAGAGCTGCCTGATCTTGAGTTACAACAGGCAGGCAGAACAGGGAAGTTTCAGCCATTAAGGGATGGTAAATAACTTCACTCTGTCGCGCTCCTTGCATCCCCAGGTCACTGTTGGATTGTAGCAGTCCAATTGCACCCTGCTGAAGTCCCACTATAGTCACCACACAGACTCAGGTTTAGTGGTTAACTATATACAGTGCAGTTTATTTACAAGACACAGCTCTCACCGTCAAAGTGCTTCGCCAAGCAGTCAACATTTAAGTCAGCACACAATGTACAGTACATTCACAGTTATATACACATATGCTATACTGCTCCCTCTGTGTTTCTCACCTTTTCCCCAACTTCTCCCTCCTTGCACCCCCAAGCAAAGTGACAGTTTTTCCAAGTCACAGGCAAGGGCACGGGCTGCTAGGAAACAGGTTGATGTCGTTCTTGTTCACTCTGTACAGGTGCACTAGTTGGGGCTTTCCACTCTAAGCATCTGAAGACATATCTCAGGTCTTGAGACTAGGTCCTTAAACTATAAATGGTTTTATGACAAGACTCTAGACTACGTGTAGGTCTGCTTATCACACATATACTATTTACCTGGATAATAAAATCCTGTGCTTTCTGATCTTGCAACAACCTTTCGACCTCGGAGAGTGTCGAACGTTTTTCCTTTTTGCCTCTTCTTTTCCTGTGGCCTCGTTCGAAATTTCTGTTGGATCTGTGAAAGGGATTTTTTTTTCAGTGCTAGGATAACTTTCAAATGAACGGAGTCAATAGAAAAGGGTATCTCATATGGGTACAACCAAATATTTACAACTTAAGAAATATGCATCTCACACATTTCAGCTTTCAAAATGAATCACTGGTTAACGGGGTCTCCAGGGCCAGAGCAGGTGTTTTGCATGCAGAAGGCCCCAAGTTCCATCTCCTCATTCAAAGATCTTAGGCAACAGGATTGGGAAGGACCTCTGAATCCCAGACCATGGAATATCACTTCCAGTCACAGAGGACAGTACTGGGACAGATGTGCCATAATATGGGGTTGAAGGCATTTATTGCCGAGATAGTTAAAAATGCTGTATCTGCACTGGAGAATGGGAATCAGGTTTCTTAAAAGAAACTATTGATGAGTGAGCAAGTAAATCTAGCTTGAAAAGGGAGCTGATTTCTACAGAAAATCTTCCAGATACTCATTAAGTGCTCTGACAGCTTGTTTTCCTTTAAAGGGACTACTCTAGAGCAACCCTGACTGTTTCCTAGAAGGCCAGATAAGACATATCTCAGGCCTTGAGACTAGGTCCTTAAACTACAAATGGTTTTATGACAGGACTCTAGACTACGTGTAGTTCTGCTTATCACACATATTCTATTTACCTGGATAATAAAATCCAGTGCTTTCTGATCTTGCAACAACCTTTCGACCTCGGAGAGTGTCGAACGTTTTTCCTTTTTGCCTCTTCTTTTCCTGTGGCCTCGTTCGAAATTTCTGTTGGATCTGTGAAAGGGATTTTTTTTTCAGTGCTAGGATAATCAACACTGGTTAGTCATCACTGAGATAGGGTTGCCAGGTCTTATCTGAGTCCCAGCAGGGGGCACCAGCCTGGCTCCTGGGGTCTTCTGGAAATGACATCATCATGCTGGGCACGTCATTCAGGGGATGCTCTAGCATTTGGGTTAAAAATATGGTCACCACAGAGTTTTCAACTAAATGCTAGAGCATCCCCACCCCCGCATGACATGCCCAGCACAATGACATCACCTCCGGGTGGGGAAAACCCCACCCCCATTGGGGGGGATGGCAACACTATGCTGAGATAATGTCTGGAGTGCTTCGAACACTTGAAATGAGCTTTATAAATGCTAAGCATTCTTTCTCCTTATTTATACAATCCCAGGATTTAAAGTATAAACAGAATATTTTATTTTCTGTATCGCTAAAATGAATGGATATTAGAAAATCAAACTAGCCTAGACCATACCTTCTACTTTCCCCTGAAATCTAGTTTGGACCAAAGGATGATGAATTCATCCTACTAACAGTAGCATCTTCTTCTGGAACAAAGTGCAAGAGGCTCTTGGAAGATGCTACCATTAACAGAACAAATCCATAGGATCCAACCCAAAATCTGCAATTGCCGTACTAATTTCTGCCTTCTAGAAAGGCAAATGATGAAGGCTGAAATATATATTTTGTCCTCTTCCAAAGCACTTGAGAAAAGGCCAAAAACTGCCCTGACCTGGATAGCCCAGGCAAGCCCAATTTTATCAGATCTTGGAAGCTACGCAGGGTCGACTCTGGTAAGTACTTGGATGGGAGACCTCCTTGGAATACCAGCAGCTGGGAGGCGGGGGCAGGCTTTATTCAGTCACCTCTCTGAATAGCCTCCAGGCCCCCAGTAGGAGTCAGAGGTCATCATGACTTCCAGGCGCGCGTGCATGTAGAAAAAATACAAAAAAAATCCAAAGAGAAAAGGCCAAAAGCTTGGATTCTAAACCTTGGCTCTGCTTGTACTACATTCTTTTCTACTGTGCTGTGGAACATATTCATCATTGTGGTCTGGTTCTCCACTGTGCAGTGCATTCCTCCATCACTATTAGTTCTTGTGCATACAAGACTGGCATTTTTCAATAGGCCAAAAAGCACTTAGTATTGAAGGAAAGCACTCCGTGGGGAGGACCGTCTCTGCAACAGACAAAGAAGGGAACAACTGGAATCATTGCTTTAGGATCCAAACCTCCCCAGCCCTGTGCAGTTGCCTAGCTGGTCTTTAAATAATAAGCATTGTCACTGTCATCCACATACACAATAACAATATGGCTCAACAACAGAGGTAATTTTGGACCGAAGTGATAAAAGAAAACAACATCTACACGTGAAGATTTTTGGTGTGCTGAAAAATAACAGTGGGGAAAGATGAGTGTTATTCTTGGTCCGAATCCGATACACTGTGGCCAAGCCACAGTGGCATTGCCAGCACTTCAGGGGCTCATATTAGCTGGTGGCTACACAGGTCTAGGAAATGATGATGGGCATAAGCCATGCCCACTGCCTTCTTCCACAGCACCAGCCCAGCGGCTTGAGAGGTTTGCCTCAGTTGCTTAGACCGTGAGCCAGCACTGAATGCCAAAATGGCCCAGCATCCCCTTGTGTAATTGTTCGTGACACCATCTTGAATCTGTTTTACATTGGTTTTAATGTTATTCATTTTATTATATTTAAAGTTTGTATACTATTCCTAAGACCTATGCCATTCTGTACATCTCCCAGAGCCCTGTGCAAGTCAGGATAGGGTGATCATTAAATAATAATAATAACAACAACAACGACAAAAATAATTCAGCACATGTCCCAGAATTTTTCTTCCTCTCTGTTATTGCTCTACCACGTGAAGCCTTGGTAATACAACTTTTGAACTTGTTGGTAACACACACTATTCAAAGCACGTTCATCAAGGACATTGATAAAGAGTTACTGTATCTCTATAAATGGCAATAAAGGGATTCGATTAGCAATTTTTAAAAAATTTTAAATTTTTACATTAAGAAAACAGCATCGCATGCCTATTTGTTAATTTACAATGGAAGTTACCCCCTTCTACCTCCTTATCTTTTTTAAAACAACTGGGTTTTACCATAACAAATATCAGGTGGAAGACTACTTGCACGTTCATTCATTTAGGAAAGTGAAATCAAAAGCCTAGCGATCATCAGAAACATTTCATTTCCATGAGCTCAATGCAAATTTTGAAGGCTATTTGCATTTTCTGTCACTCACTCTTAAAGCATTACAGTTGCAGATTAGCAATTACTGGTGCTCTGATTAGACTGCTAAAGCAGGTTGTCTCAGGATAAGTGATTGCACAGCGTTAATCACATCAGTGTCTGTAGCATACAGTGGTGGGGTAGGACAACAGCACACCAAATATGCAGCATGAGCCAGCAAAACCTAAAAATATTTCAACTGTGGCTCAGTTGAGGTATAAACTAATGTCAGGGAAAGATGAATGACCAACTATCTTCTTAACTGAATATATACAAATTAAACAGCATATATAAAAGAGCAAGATTTTCATATTTATTTGAAATAGTTATATTCTGGCTTTCCCCTGAGAAGCTCAGGGCTGTTCATTTATTCATATTAAAAGCTTCTGAACCAAATCGCAACCAAAACATATTGTCCCAAGTAATTAAACTCTACACATCTATTAATTCCATCATCTCAGAGAATTTTGAAATGGTCCCAGAGGTTGTATTTCCAGCACCACCAGTAATGAGCTACCCTGATGTTACACTTGTATATTCCAAATCATAGAATTACAGAGCAATCCTAAACAGAGTTATTCTCTTCTAAGCCCATTGACTTCAGTGAACTTGGAATGGTCACAAGTAGGTGACCTACTAGGCCTTGTGGGGGGATCTCATTTTCCCCTTCTTTACAATTTCCTCCTTCCCTTCCCAGAAAGCCTCCATTGCCTCTCCCCCCCTTTCCCTGTTTCCTTCTCTCCTTCTCCTTGTCTTCATCTCTCTTTTCCCTCCTCCCAGCAGCCTCTACCTAGGAAAATGATGGCCCAGTTGCAAGGTGCCAGCCATCAGACCCAGTTGCATGATAGGGAACCCAGCAGAATGTGTAGGGGCACCTCAGTTTCCCATGTATCCCCATCCTCACATTACTCCCTCTTTCCC